TAAATTCAGATCTTCTCAGTTCAGTAGACCTCATATTCCCTGCTTGACTCCTCCTCTTGACCCATGGATTTTTCTTTTTTTTTTTTTGAACAATGCATCTACAGGCAAAAAGCTGTATCATCCATAAGAATTTCCTTCATTATATCCTTCTATAAATAGTCAAAGCCTTATACTGCCTGTGGTAGTGTCTAAAAGAATTTACTCCATATATTTTGTTCAATTTTCTGGTTGTTAAAGAAATGAAAGTCTTACTATCTGTTACTTTATCCATGTCTGAGGGGCCAAAAACTCTCACCATTTGTTAGGACCCTAACTTCATCCCCATGAAATTGGAATCCTCAGCTCGAGTATTTTACGTTTAATTTGGTATTTAGTAGTGGTTTGTATCCAGTTAACATTTTTCTATTATACTATAGCTATTTTGGCTTTACCCCATTTTCTTTTTGATCTGGCTAAAAATGTGACTCATATTTACATGTGTAATGAGACTTTACATGTTTTAGAAAATTCTTAAAGTAGGTTGAGGGCTGAGTAGTAAACACATTGTAGCATGTGTTGAGAGCCTGGTTTATCCTAGCACTAAAAGGACCAATAAAAGTGAATATGTGTAACTTTTTAAATTATTGTAATCAGAATTTATTTTTAGATGTTTCATAAACTTTCATTCAAATTGTTTATATTTTGGAGCTTTAAAACTATGCTGTGAAAAAGAATTGTGAAGTTTCCTATCAGTTAGTCTAAAAAAAATGTCATGATTATAGGCTAAAACAGACTTTTAAGACTCAACAAAGGATAGGAAAACTGAGTTGTTAGTGAGATTTTGTTGAAACTACCACATCTGCCTCTAAGACTGAGTAATCGTGACTTACATAGTTGTTATGGAAATATTATATGTCACTTTATTTGAGTTGAATGACAGGCCTTCATTGAGGGAGAAAATCTTAAAATGGTTGAGAATTTTCTTGTTAGAATCACTGTAAAAGGGAGGGTTGGGCAGAGGGGAAAGATGACCCCATAGCCTTGTAGCACATATGAATAAAAAAAAAAAGAATCACGTAAAGTCTTTATTGTATTTGATAATTGTTTAAATGTTGGGATTACATTTTTAATCTACATTTTGGAATAAGAAATGTAGTTTTTCCCGCATGTGTCACCCAAATAAATCCTCTCTCTCTCTCTCTCTCTCTCTCTCTCTCTCTCTCTCTCTCTCTCATCTCTGTCTGTTTCCTCAGACCCTTCCCCATGGTGCTGGGATCAAACTCGTCTTGCCTTGCGAGACAAGTATTCTACCACTGCCTACACCTCCAGATCATGTTTTGCTTATTTTTTTCCTCACTTCTTTCTTCCTTTTTTTTTTTGTTTCTGTTTTTTTACAGCTCATTTTTAGAATTCATTGAATAGACTGTATTTGTAGCCAAAGAGGACTGTTAGATAGGGACAACATGATCAAACTCTTGAGTTTTCTCTTTTAACTAATGGCATCATCAAGTCTCTTTGATGTTTTCTAATAGTAAAATGGAAGTCGCTGTTACTATTTTTAATTACATCTGATAGCTGTAATTAGAACTTTCTCACTCACTATGCAATTTTTCTGAATACCACAAATTTTAAACTCAAGGTTTGTGTTTCATTTGTTTCGTTTGGTAGGATCAGAAAATAATTCTTTCTCCCAACTGAAATCTCTTTATTTACACAATATTCAAACAAACAAGTTGTAGATTCATGATTAATTGTAACTTTTCAAAAGCATGAATAATAAAACATCTTTTACATTTTTTCTTCTCAGATACAATAAGATAATTTAAAAAATAATTAAAAAAATTTTTTTTTCTGTATCTTAAAACTTTAGTATTAATGCTTAAGCATTTCCAGGAATAAAAACCCATCAAAAAAGAAGGAACAAAGACAAAAAAGTCACATAGATTTATTTTTTTGTACAGAAAAGAACTACTAATGGATTCATTGCTAAGTATAGAATTTCATTTTATAAGATTTTATTTTAGCACAAAATGCCTGTTATATTTAGGGATGAATGTAGCTTAGGTTTAATGCATGTCTTTTTATGTTAATATGATACAAAACTTTTGTTGTCTTGATAACAAGTAAAATTTCTATAATGCTTTATTTTCCTTACTACATCTTACGTTCTGGTTTTTGAACCACAAATTCTTTTACCCTGCTTTTATATAGAGACCACTTTTCTTTGGGTCTCACACATTTATGAAAAGCCAGTGGAGAAATCTTTAGCAGAAATCTTAGATTCAGAGATATCACACTGTATGGTTAGTAGCAAAATCTGTGTGTGTATAAATTATCATAAATAAAAATGTTGTTCTTGTGTAGCAGCCGATGGCTAATATGTACCATATAACTAAAGGGCTTCTATCAATCTATGTTTAGGGATCCAGGATTTCTATTTTTAGCCAACTCTGTAGTTTATTTTCATGCAGATGCTTCATCATGTGCATTTAGAAACCATTGTGTTTAAGACTTTATCACACATCTAAACATTAATACATTTTAATTTAAAATAAATGTTTGTTGCTAATTTGTAATATTTCACAATAAAGGAACACAGCAACACAAAAGTTCCCATGGAAGAAATTACTTTAAGAAAGAAAAAACTTATGGTAGACTTATGGTAGAGCACTTCTTAGGAAGTACAAGGCTCTGCATTCAACCCCCAATACCACCAAAAATGAAAAGAAAAGCTTACTAATACTGGTTTCTCAGTTTTATCTTTGCTTTCGAATCTCACTGGAAACGATAAGTAGGTAATTACTTAACACCAACTGTTTTGTTAAGTATAGATTTAAAAAAGTGATATTCTCAAATTGTACTTAAGTAGGGGCCTGGGAAGTTTTTATCACAGGGATAACATTCTGACAAATAAATGTGGAAAGTAAATAAAAATCAAGCTAGAAATCAGTTGAGTAGATGCAAGGGAGATAGGATGGAGTGGGGCAGTATTTTGAGGGGAAGAGTATTTTATCAAATTCCTAGCAGCAACTTTTTTTCTTTTGTGTCACTTTCACTTACATTATTGATCTTTTTGAAATTTGCTTTTGCCTAAAGAAATAAGAAGTTAGATTTTTCTCAAAACAGTTAAAACAATTTATTGGACAATCTACCTTTTTCTATTGCTTTAAAGTCCATCTTTATTGTATTCAGATTCCATATATCTTTGAGTGTATTTCTGGACGCACCATGTGTTACTATAGAGCTAGGAGGCCATGAACTTGGAAGTTTTCAATACTCATCTATACTCTGGAGTGCTGTAATCAATCCTGAAATAATTAGTTTCTTAAAGATTTGAAATAATTTAACTAAACTCATCTGGACTTCCTGGGGGATGTTATATTCTATCAGTTTCCCTGTCTTCCATATTAGCTTCATCTTGATATGTATATTTTGAAAGAATCTTGTTCTTTGAAAGCTAAGCTATCCCTGTAATATATAGTGATAATGTGATATTAAGGATATTAATCCTTTTTTCTTAGTATTTCTCATCACAGATTTTATTGTTTTCTAGGGCCCTCATATAGCTTCGGTTACATTAGCTGCTTATGAATGCAATTCAGTTAATTTCCCTGAGCCACCCTATCCTGACCAGATTATTTGCCCAGATGAAGAGGGCACTGAAGGAGCTATTTCTTTGTGGAGTATCATCTCAAAAGTTAGGATTGAGGCCTGCATGTGGGTAAGATGTGCATTTTCATATTTGTCTGAAACTAACCTCACCATTTGATACTATGTTGTACCTTTTTGAAATGTAATCCAAACATGTACCTAGACAGTAAAGAGTTCATGAGTCACCAGCTGCCTACTTTAAGCAAAAGAACCCTTTTTTAGAGCTTCTCATATTTGTGAATGACATTTGCAAGAAAAGCTAAAGCACAAAGCAACTGATGCCAACTAGACAACAGCAGAAGAAAAGAGTATGGGTGATACATAACTAGACTACTTTGCAAAATTTGTTCCAGTGTTATATACATAAGTACTTATTAAGTAGCTGTGTAGTTGTGTGTGGTGGATACCTGTAATCCCAGCATTTGGAAATTGAGCAAAAGGATTAGGAGGCCAGCCTGAGCTACATGTGACCATGTGTTAAGAAAAAAAAAAACAAAGGAAAGTAGTTGTATAAAATGTTAGGTCATTAAATGTTATATATCTCACTCCTAGATTAAAGTATTAAAGTACTGCATTTGTTTCAGAGGACTCTGCTAAAGTAAGGTCTAACATTTCTCTATATAAATTAAAGTTTTCTGTAGTAGTGGTTTAAAACTCTAGTTATTCCTGGTGATCCTGCGGTCCTGCTTTCAGAGATACTAAATGTTCTCTGTGTGGTTTTGCTTACTTTTTTTTTTTTTTTTTAAGGAAAGTTTTTGGACAATATGTTCAATGACAGGAGTATTTTAATCCACACAAGTTGTTTTGTTTTTATTTGCCTGTTTGATATATGCATAAATTTATTCAGGCATCCATCATTGAGAAATGATTTATTTGTTACAGACTTCTATTGCCATTTGAATTATTTTTAACTGTCATTTGGGTTCGTTAAGTTTATATACCTGTAATTTCTCTCGCAGTTAACACTGTGCATTTAGAAGGAACAGAGTTTTAAAACACATTTAAATATTAGCTTTTTGTATGTATGTGATTCTGGGCATCAAGCCAATGATCTGGTACACGGGGCAGATCATGAGCTACCTTTCCCAGACTAGCAGTTACTTGTGCTGTAAAAGAATTATAAAATAGGAAATGCTGCATGTTGTATTTGTTGAATATGAAAGACAGGAAAAATGTCATGTTTCCTCTTGCTCTTTTATAAACATGGGAAACAAATACATTATACTACTTTCATATGTTTTGTAAATTTGATGACATTAGTCTTTTGATGGAAAATTATTATTAGAATAGCAGAAGGTACTTGGAACATGCTAGAATAGGGACTATATATAAAATTTCATTTTCTGTTTTTTGCTAATGTTATACTTGTGTTTTTTAAAGAATTATTTATGTGTCCGGATTAACACTAATGCCCAAAGGAAACCTCCATTGCAGCTGGCAGTGATAACTGCCTTCTTCAAATTCTCATAATGCTTATTGTCTATAGTGCTTATTTGGCCTGGTTTCATGCAGCCTTAAATTAGGCTGGTGTAGTGGCTTACTTTCCCAAAAATAATTAGGCTCCTAAAAAATATAGTCTGTACCCTAAATATATTACCCTCACAACAGTCAGCACTAGGCTTTACGTATAGTAAAAGAATAACAATAAATGCTAATTAGTCTGTTTGTTCTTATTTCTTTCTTTAGAACCATGCAGTTTTTTGATTTTCCATAATTTGTCTCAAGTGGCAGAGTACCTACCTTGCAAGCATGAGGTTCTGAGTTCAAGTCCCAGTACTGCCAACAAAAAATTCTGTTCTCCAGATTTTCACCATTATACTTAACATTTTCCTGTATAAAAGCAAAACACTGCCATAAATCCACTTGACAAAACTCCAAGCACAAACATTAAATGAAAAGATTTTCTTCTACTTGAGCTGGCAGAAGGGCTTAAGTGGTAAGCACCAGCCTAGCAAACTGGAGGACCTGAGTTCAATACCTAGTACCATCCCTGCAAAAAAAAAATTTTTTTTTCTTCTCCCAAAAAAATTAGCATTCTGAGGAGGTACTGTGTTTATTAGTTGGTTCACATCTTTTGTGCACATTAAACTCTTTTCCACTTCCAGAAGCAGGGTCTTCAGGGTAATGAACTGGTATGTAGGATAGGGTTTTTAAGGGAACTTTCTGAATTTCTGAGTTCAAACCCCAGTACCATCAAAAATAATTTTTTTAAGTTTTGTTATTTGTATTTTTTATCAATATTCTATATTTAGTTTCACTCTTTTTTCCCCAAGTGCTGGAGAATCAAACCCAAAATTTACTATATTTGAATTTTTTATAAAAATTATACTATTTTTAGTATACTAGGGTTTGAACTCAGGGCCTACTGCTTACAAAGTTTGAGCCACACCTCGTTTTTACTTTCATCTTTTTCAAGTATGGTATCTGAGTTTTTGCCTCAGGCTGCCTCAGGCCACAGTCTTCCTACCTATGGCCTGAATAGCTAGGATTGAGATTGAACCACCACTTGGTTCAATTGCTAACTTGGCTTCTAACTGCTAACTTTTTTCCCTGGGCTGGCTTCAAATCATGATCCTCCCAGTCACCACTTCCTAAGTAACTTGGATTACACATGTGAGCCACTGTAACTGGCCTATAAAATTATTTTTTAAGAACTCTGAAATGATGAGGCTTCATTGTCTAATATCTGTAGCTAGGATATAGTGTGTTTTAGGGAAATATGCCTGGATGATTAAAGTCCCCTTTTATTTATTTGTATAATAATAGAATATTGCTATCACCATTCTTATTTCTTCTTAATATGAAAGATATGAGTTGAATTAAATTAAAATAAAGCAGTAATTATGGTCAGTTTAGAATATAGCTCTTGATTTCATTTCAGTTCGTTATGTTACTTCCTTTTTAACTTTAAGGAAACTTGTCATGAGTTTGAATCATATGATTGTGTTCAGAACTGTTGAACATTTGACTTCACATTTGAACTTTACATTTGAACTTAAGGGAAGTTCATGTTTTAAATAAAATGTTGTCAAGAACTTTTTCCTACTTTTTATCATGAAATCTTCCCAACAAGTGCAGAAAATTACAAAGTGAATTAATGGCACTTTTACCCCATATCAACTAATATTAACTTGTGACTGATATTCTTTATCTACACCTGTCCTCCCTCTCCATTATCTTGAAGCAGATCCCACATATCATATCACATTCCATCTGTGAATGTAGAGCTGTAGAACTTAAAAACATTATCATACCTGAAAGAAATTTGTAGTAATCCGTTATCCAATTACTGTTGAATTTGTTGATTTTATTTGTTTTTCTTTCAAATCTATATATTGATGAAAGTGGGTTTGTCGAATAGTTTCCTACAGTCTGAATTTTACTAATTGCATTCTGGTTGGTGTAGTTTAAACATGTTGATCTGTTCCCTGGGTTACCTGTGAATGGGTAGGTTGACAGGCTTGAAGTTTTGTTTTCCTTTTTTAGCAGGAATATACTTTAGCTTTTCTTTTGCAATAATATCTGGTTGCCTTTTTTGTGACATTAACACTAGTGATAATTCATTATTTATTGGGGGTTATAAAATAGTGATATTCTTCTAACTCTGGGCTCAAAGAAACCAAGTATGCACCACCATGCCCAGCTTAGAATACTTTTATAGAGAAAATTTCCTTATCGCTAATTTGGTTACCCTCAGATTAATTCATATAGCAACAAAAGGCTAAATACTTGATTCCTTCCTTTCATTTAACAGTTTTTAAAATATTAGGTTGGTTTTCTACAGTCCTCCAGAGTTGAGCAACATTAACTTTTCTTGTTTGCCAGTATTTGTTTTTCATCCCCATATCCTTCTATGTATGTATATCTCTCCTCCTTTTCAAGCTATTTGGAAGCAGAGTGATAAGATACAGCAGACTGAAAGGGTTAAAGTTGCTCTTGAAAATAAGCAATGCTTTTTCATTCCCTGTGACTCAGAGTAGAGAACCAAGTCTGTTGGGCTCAAAGCTGAGAATTTCCCTAGAGACAATGTGCCTGTGATATTATGGTGTATCCTGTATTTAGGCCATTTAAATCCAAACCAAGTTCCTGATTCATTAAACTTTGTTTTCATCCTTATGTCCTAAATTGATTAGAAATAAAATTCTCTTCAAAAACAAAAATCTACAGAGTAACTGAAACATGAGTCAGTATTCTAAGGAAATTAAACTCTTTTCCTGTAGTGAAAATTTATCCATCCTAATGTTGTGTTTTCAAGAGACTTCCTGACCACAATTTTTTCAAAGTTTTAAAACACACACGTAAAAAAAGTTGTATTGGGATTAAAGCAACATTTGAAGTGCCAGATTTCCTGGAAGGTATTAATCTTACAGCTGTACTGGTGAATTTTTATTACTAGCTCACTTAGATATTAGGAAAGTACTGGAGGACCTGAAAAAAGTAACAGAACCTAAGGAAAATGCTGCATTAGTGTCTGCAATGTGCCAGGGCTGTCTAAGAGGTTTATGTCTGTCATCTTGCTTGGTATCACATAGGATTCAAATTCTTATCCTTCTGATTATGTAACATGCTCCCTCCATTCCCTGCATGGTACATTGCATCTTAGAATGCTTTTGGTGATGCAGAAAAGTGTAAATTTGATCTGTTAAGTGTCACTGTGTTGAAAAAAGAACCTCATTATAAGTATTTTGGTTTTTCACCTAGGGTATCGGCACAGCAATTGGAGAGCTGCCTCCATACTTCATGGCCAGGGCAGCTCGCCTGTCAGGTGCTGAGCCAGATGACGAAGAGTATCAGGAATTTGAAGAGATGCTGGATAATGCCGAGGCTGCACAAGTAAGAACAGTGGGGAAAATAAAACACTTGAATCCTAAAGAGCTTATTAGCTCTAAGGAAGAAAACTGCCAGGCTTAAAACAAATGAAATGATTCACACAGGATGTTCAGACAAACTGAAAAATAAAAATGATAATAGGGGTTGTGGGTACAGCTCAGTGGCGTAGCATGCATGAGGACCTGGGTTCAATTCACAGCCTAAATGTATACTTTATCAGTAGGAAAAGGTTTTTCTAAACAAGTAGGTAGCAAGACGATAAGTGATTTTCTCCTCCTAGGAACTTTCTTTTTTTCTTTTTCTTTTTTTTTTTTTTAAGTACTGAGGACTGAACCCAGGGCCTCCAATATGTGAGGCAAGTGTTCTGCACTGACCTCATTCCAGCTTCTCCTAGGATCTCCAAAATGCAAAATGTCACTTTTATTTTAATAAATAAATAAATAAATAAAATGATATATGTATAAATCTAGATTGTACTTATTCATTAAGTTCTTTTTTAGTGTTACATTCTGTTTGCGTGTTTTTGTTTTGAGAGATGGTCCTGCTGTGTGGCCCAGGCTGGCCTTGAACTCATGATTCTTCTGCCTCTGCCTACCAAGTACTGAGATGATAAGCTTGTGCCACCACACCTGGCTATAGCTGTTTCCATACTAGCCATTTTTCTCTTGAAAGCAGCATTGTGACTTTATCCTCACTTGATACCACAAATAGCTCAGAGCTGCTAAGATGTTTGCTGAGGGAATATATAAGTTATATAATATTCTTAAATAGTTACTAAAGCTTTAAAATAGTAATCATTGTGTTGGCATATACTTGACAATAGTAGTACTCTCCTTTTAAATAATATTTAATAAGTCAAACTTATCAGGAAATTCAGACTAGCCTCCACCTCTGTCAGATTAGTGACTCTTTACTCTTGAGTGTTCTAGAGTATTCTCAAAATGGGCAAGGTAAACCACAACCATAAAAGTTAAATTCCAGGAGCCGGGGATGCAGCTCAGTGGTAGTGCCTTGTATGCATAAGGCATTATATTACACACAAAAAGTTCTGTGTTACTGAGGTTGTGACTTGATAGTAGAGTACTTGCCTAGCAAGCCTGAGGTCCTGAGTTTAATTCCCAGAACTGCGGGGAGAGAGAGAGAGAGAGAAGGAAGGAGGGAGGGAGGCAGGTTGGCCTGTCATCCCAGCTTTCAGGAGGTAGGGATCAGTAAGATCACTAGTGGAGGCAGCCCATGAAATATGCTTACAAGACCCGTCTCAACAAACAAACTATGTGTGGTGCATGCCTATAATCCCAACTATACAGGAAACATAAGTAGGAGCATTTCATCCGAGACCAACTTCAGGCAAAAAACATGAGACCCTATCCAAAAAATAAGTAAAGCAAAAAAGCCCTGAGATATGACTCAAGCAGTAGAGTGCTTACCTAGTAAGCAAGAGACCCTGAGTTCAAACCCCAGTACCACCAAAAAAGAAAAAATTAAGAACAGTGAATGGGAAGGAGAAATCAGACTAGAAGCATAAGAAGGGCTTGATGTGTCATTGCTGACTGGAAAATGAAAGGGATACCATTATAAGTAGCACAGAGTCATTACAAGGAGTAGAAGCTAAGAGCATCCAGCCAGAGAGAAGCCAGGGCCTTCAATTCTATTAGTGTAAAGAAATGAATTCTGCCAAACTACACCATTTAGCCAGGTACCAGTGGCTCAGGGCTCTAGCTACTGTAGAGGCCAAGATTTCAAGTATTGTACCTGTGCAAAAAGTTCACAAGATCCATCTCAACCAGTAGCAGGGCATGGTGTTTCATACCTCTCATCCCAGCTGTGCTAGGAAGTATAAAATCAGATCACTGTCCAGGCCCCGCCTGAGCAAAAAGCAAGACTCTATCTAAAAAAAATAACCACAGCAAAAAGGTCTGGGATATTCTCAAGGGGTAGTAAGTGTGAGGTTCTGTGTTCAAATTCCAGTCTACCCCCACCCCCAAAAAAAGAATGTAACAGACCTGCAACACCAAATTGCAGCTAGAGCTGGACCTGGACTTCTGACTTACAGAAACTGTAAGACAATACATGTGTTATAATAGCATGGAGAAAGAAAAGAACCATGAACAATTCTCTGCATGAAAGAGGCAAGATGATCCCAGATCTGCTTTGCCTTATCTACCAACCAATTTTGCCTCTTTTCCTAACATCATAATGCTTATGTTGATGTTTAATAATACTCCCTATATAAACAACTTGTACAATTATTTCTGGGTTAGGGATATAGCTCAGTGGTAGGATACTTGCTAGCATTCATCGAAGCCTGGGTTCACATCAATAAATAAATAACTAAATGGACTGAATGAATGAGTGAATAAATAAATAAACAAGCCAGCAAGCAAGCAAGCCAGCAGCAAAAACATAAAATTATTTTAAAACTTTTCGAATCCAGTCTGTAATGTGGAACCTTGTCTTAACTCTGAGGAAGTTAATGGAAATGGTGCCATTCTGTCTAATTTTATGGAAAACTGGAGTCTAGAGGTTATCTCCCCTATTTCATATGTTTAAAGCTAGAACCAAACTCAGAATGCCAGTGTCACCACTATTATTCAAATTCCTGAACCAGTCCCATCCACAGAAGTAGATGGGTGAGTATCCCCACTTAAAACTTTTCGAATCCAGTATGTAATGTGAACCTTGTCTTAACTCTGAGGAAGTATGGAAATGGTGCCATTCTGCTAATTTTATGGAAAACTGGAGATCTAGAGGTTATCTCCCCTATTTCATATGTTTAAAGCTAGAACCAAAACTCAGAATGCCAGTGTCACCACTATATTCAAATTCCTGAAACCAGTCCATCCACAGAAGTAGATGGGTGAGTATCCCCACTTGTGACAACTGATACCTCTTTGACCCTGAGTTTATGGTTTACAATTGATGGACATCATTTAATTGTTCTAATATTTATTCATGTTATAAAATCAACAAGTTGAAGTATAATAATTGTAAGGTGGTTTGCAACTGTATAATAATTGTAAAGGTGGTTTGCAACTGGAATTTTATACTATGTTGTGGATATATTATTTTTCTTAAACCAAACTATATACTATGATGAATTTTCCTTTTTTTTTTTTTTAAATAGCTTTTTTTTTTTGGTGGAGGGGGGAGGTTGCAATTAACATTTTTTATTTGCGTGGTTTTTTAAATCTCTAGCTTCTCTTCACCACCCTGTGAAAACAATCTCTTGCTAGCCCTTTTTACTTGGTAACGCTGCAAAACCAATATCAGCTTCTATTTTTTTTCATGGTGTTCATCACTTTGGATCCTACCTTCATGCTCCACCACAGTCTAGATTTGCTATTCTTTTGACCTTCCGCACATGTAGTTTTGATGAAGTGCAATCAAAATTGAATGAGTGAGTGAATGAACAAAGAATTCCAAGCTAAAAATTTTAAATTCTCATGCATGCATTTAGAAGCTCAGTTAGTGAAGCCTTAGTCCTATGGTTCCATAGGTTGTATTTAAATCCTTATGTGCTCTGCTGAGTGTTTCCGTGCCCTTAATTTTGTGAAAATATGCCTCCTCAAAAGCATTTGATAGCCAAAAAGCAAGGTAGAAGTTAAGGTAATCCTCCCAAGTTAAAAAAGGCATGTAAAGTGCTTAATTTAAGTGATAAAGTTGAGCACTTTAGATTTGTTGAAAGAGGTGACATGCCTTTAGTGGAAGTTGGATATTTTATGGGAAAAATAAATCAAGTATCCATAGTACAATACTAAGCTGTATGTCCCCTGAGCACGTGTGGTTTTTTCCTCAACGATGGTTTCCTTGGAACCATATACTGCAGATACCAAGAGTCTAGTATATCTTGCTTGGGGGATATAAGCCTTGTTGCTGACATTCTAAAACTGGGCAAGGGAAAAGTGGTTAGAGGTCTCCATTTAGTCTGTACACTTTTGTTTAACCTACTTTGTGTTCAGTCTCTGCCTACATCCACAAACACAAGCACAAGCATGTCTTGAGCCCAGAAGCTTCATTTATCTAGAGACTTTGTACTGACTATACTTGATGTCTTCTGTGGGGCTGAGGAAAGGAACTGCCTGGCTATGCTAAGTCGGGTTGGATCTATGAGTCTATGCTTACACATTCTCCTTGCTCTCAGCCCTCCCAACCCTCTTCTGCAGATCTGCTAAAGAGCCCTTCTGGGATTCTGTTAGGCAAATCACTTGGCTTCTCTTCCATATCCTTCCCTGTTGGCTGTCAGGTATATATATGGTTTTTTGGGTTGGTTTTTTTTTTTTTCATCTGTCCTTGTCTTTTTCCAGACACAGTCTCGATACTTAGCTCACAGGATGCCCTGGAACTCAAGGTCCTCCTGCCTCAGCTTCCCAAGTGCTGGGATTACTGGAGTGGACCACCATACCTGGCTTGTTCTTTTACTAATGTTAGTTTCATCAGAGACAGGGTTCATGTTTGTGTTTTCTGTATTTTGGTTTTATTTTTAGGATAAGATGTGTCTTACTGTCAGCTATCTGTGCTTAGTAACATGTGAAACCCTATGCTGAAAGTAACTAAATCAGAAAGGACTAGGGGCCTGGTTAAAGTGGTAGATTGCTTGCCTAGCAAGCAACAGGCCCAGAGTTCAACCCCCATTATCACAAAAAGAAAGAGTACCTGTCATCACTGCTTACAGATGTGCAATGAGTGCCTTTTCTCTATATAATACCTTTCAAAGAGCCCATCCATAGAACTCCCTACATTGGCTGGAACACCAGACTCTATGACTCACTTCATTCTTTGCAGTTTTTTTTTTTATTTAAGGATTATAAATAATGCGTCCCATAAGCTTATTACCATCTAAAAGCTCAATCTCAAAAAACTCAGATCTTACAGAATTTGATGAAGTACATCATACTTCATCATACACAGATAATTTGATCTTATGAAGACTTTAATCACTTCTCTCAGTCTGTCTATCCACAGATAAAGTAATAATCCTTTTCGTTCCTCTCTTATGGCCCTAA